CATAGGAAATTTTTTGCATATGAGGTAACATAGAATTACACAGCCAAGACATTACCATGTAATTCTCCTGCACCCATCAGAAGAGTCTGCATTAGGTTTCTTTTCCTCCCCAATAAGATAGCCTAATTTTCCACGGGCACCAATAGCCATCTTAGCTGATTGTGCCCACTCAAAATAATTTGTACCATCAAGTTTTACTGTAGTAATGACCCCAAACCCAAAAATATCACTACTACCTCCAACACCCAATCCCACAGTACCGATAGTTTTTCATCTCGATATTCCAACTCTCCATCTTACTTCAAACAGTTCAATAGTAAGAAAAAAAATAGATTGGAAACCTTCAAAAAATAATTTAATATCACACACACAGAAACCAACCCTTCCGGAAGAAGAAAACCCTAGCTGGTGAGAAATCTCTCTCCTCCCCACGCCTCCCAACAGAGAGAAAAGTAAATCGATCACTCCGGGAGGCTCAGAAAATTCCAAAAACCAAACCGCCCTCTTCAAAAAATCAAAAGATAACTAACAATACCTGGGCGCCCAAGATCAAATCAAAAACAAAGAGTCCAACTTTTCTGGGACTCTTCCCCGCACTCCAGTTCTTCCTAATTTTGATGCCGAACAGTAGATCACCTTCCTGATGACCAGATCCCACAAAAAAATCCAAGAACTGTGCAATTTATATCAGATCGATCAGCCCTTTACTACTTCATGCAATCGGCTTGATCTAGGGCTGCATGAGAATGCTTCAAGAAACCCTAGTCGATGCTTTGATACCAAGTAGAAATCTGCTGAATTAAAAAATATGAAAGAAAAGTAGTTTCTTGGAGAGAGAAGGAAGAGAGAAGGAGAAGAGAAGAAGAGAAGAAGAGAAGTTGAAAAGAAAAGAAAGCAATAATCTAGCCGCCCCCTTCACTTATTATTTATACTAAAAATAATAGAACAGTACAAAGACAACTATGCCCTTATAGGGTGGCAAAACATAAAACAGCATATATAACACTCAAAAACATAATAAAATTTGGACTCACATAACTACTGTGGTCCCCACCTCCTATCTAACAACTAACATAAAACGTCATAAAACTGATTAATCTTCAACAATCCCCACCCAGGCACCAAGGGCTATCCCATAACCCATTGATTGTGTATAATTCCTCCTACATTTCATTTCTCCCTATAGGAGTTAGGGCCATAAACATTAATTAAAACCCATACACACCCATCCTTACATTCTTGAACTTAATGGAAATGGAGAATCTACCTACCAATTCTTCCACTGCTTCCACAGTGTTACAATCCCCCCCCCGAGGCTCTCCAAGAAGGAGCCAAAGTCCATCCTACACCTCTAGACCTCTAGAAACTCCTAACCCATCTTCCATCTAATTCCATCATTTGGATTCTTGTAAGAGCACAATATCGGGTTTTTCTCTTCAAAGTAGGTCTTTGACCACCCTTCTCTTTCTTGCACTCCCTAGGCCTCTCAAATTCCAACTAATAATTTTCATCGGGACAAAATGTAGCAAAACACCCATGAAGAAGCCTTGGTCTCCTTATTTTAGGCCCTTCCTCCTATCCCCTCTACCACTGAGTTCTAAATCTCCCTCAATGTCTGAAATTAGCCTTTCCGTTTCAGATCTTTTTTTCTTCTTTTTCCTTTTTCCCCCTTCCTGATACAATAAGCATCCTCTTCCTTCTCTACATCCTTTCCAGCCATTGTCTGAATTAGATCTTTACCGCACTCGCACTCATTTTGGCCGCAACAGCTCTCTATGAACCCTTCTTAGTTCCCCAACCCTGTACACATCAATTTCCAGATTCTATCTACTTCCTCACTTGTCCCCTTACTTCTTCCTTCCACTGTCGCCCTCTCTCTTACATCAATTCCTCCTGGATAGGAAGCTAGAGTATCTATTACAGGCATAGCACACAAGTTAGTACCCATAAAAGAAATGGCACCCATACTTGGTACGACAGGAGGAGGACCAGGATTACTAGATTTGAGTTGCTAACAGGTTTTGTTTGGTTCTAAGGCCTTTCCCCTTTCTGGAAAATGTTGTGAAGTAGACATAGCGAAAGTATCACTTTCAAACGACCTACCCACTTTTTTTTTGTCAAAAACGGTAACTTTCATTAGACATATTAAGAGAATACATTGTCACCACCCAGTCAAGGGTGTTAACCCCAAGAAAAGTACTTTCTGATTACAGAACAGCCCAAAACAAGTTTTCCCTGAAAGTTCCTTGCTTTGTAAGGGTGTCGGCTAGTCCATTCGCTGACCTCCTTGTCCACTTGAACAGTGCCCCAACCTCCCTTGCTAAGCAGTTTATTTCCCTCATGAATTGTCGATGTACCCAGGCCCCCAAGTTATGTGACTGCAACCACCCAATTAATAGTTTAGAGTCCCCTTCTACCTCAATTTGGTGTAAGCCCCATTGTTTAGCCAGTCTTAGACACTGCAACCTACCCACTTGGAGTTCCTTTCTCTGTGTTTTCGATACTGGAATACTGGAATACCCCCATCCACCCTCAGCAGATTTTTGTCCCTCTCCACAAACATCCTGTGATTCGTCAAACTTAGGGTCAGCTCCCTCGGCGGAGGGGAGTGGAGCTTGCACAGCTTCAAGACCAGTTTCTTCACCATTTTGAGTCTTCCTGCAAACCTTCATCTTCGAATTCTTCCCCTACAAACAATAGCTTTSTGTGCAGACTTTCCATTTCGAGTAGATTATTGTTGCTTTTCAAAATCACACTTCCCAAACTTACAGCTTCATCACTATCGAAGTCGTCACTGCTATCTTGTTAACTCAACCAGTCTTCAATCTTTGTTCTGTTAATATCACTACATTTCAGACACCTTGGATTATCAGGTGAGAGACGGTTCACTATGTTGGAAGGGACCCGCTGTAAAGAGCTTCGGGGTTGAGAGTCTTGAGACCCTACGCCTGACCTGGTTGATCGATAGGAGGGATTCGAAGGAGAAGAAGATAGATGATTGTTATCGTCCATCAACTCACCCCCTCCCAGTCACACGAGTACTTAAAGGGTCCCTTGGCCCATCTATCCTAGATTGGGCCTTGGACTCGAGCCCTTTAATTGGAGCACCCGGGTTAAAGGACTTTGGGCCGCCATTGCCGGCCCACTTCTTACTTCTTTTCCTCCCACGTGACTTTTTAAGAGGTCACGCCCCCCTGTTTTAAAAGTCAAACCAGCAACCTTACCTTTTGGACTGGTCTGCGGTTGTTGGTTCAACACCCCCACTTTACCCACTTGATCATTTTTGCCTTTTTCCCCAGAAGCCACCTGCACATAGGATCTGCCAATTGTCAGGGGATGAATGAGAAACAAGTGTCCAATTACAATACAGCCAATATGTCAACAAATTTCAACTTCCCTTTACCAATAAGGAACACTACAACAGATTTTGCGCAAGGGACATAATTGAGACCATTAATTTTGATGGAAGCCATCTGTATGATCATAAAATCCAGTTGTATAACTAATACCAGACGTATTTTCACCACTCGAAGAGGCCATGATAAGAAAATCAACACTGGCCAGCACCTAACATCACCACAATACTCCCACAATTACTGTTGAATACTTCCATAAATAGTTACTTGCACATAGCAACAAACATCACCCTACAAACACACATTTTGCCCAAGAGACATAATTGAGACTATTAATTTTAATGGAAGTCATCTGTATGATCATAAATCCAGTTGAATAACTTACCAGACTTATTCTCACCACTGGAAGAGGCCATGATAAGAAAGAAAATCAACACTGACCAGCACCTAACATCACCACGATATTCCCACAATTACTGTTGAATACTTCCATAAATAGTTACTTGCACATAGCAACAACCATCACCCTACAACCACACATTCCAACACAACCCATTCTAAACAGAGGTGAAAACCCAACCGATCTCATAAATAGCACAAACAACCTCCAACCAATGTCATAAACCACAAAGAACCTGCTGCTTCTACACTCCACTGCATCACCCAAATATTAGAACTAGTCAACTGAACACACAGAAAATTATCCCTCTTTGAACCACCAAGTAGAGGGTCTTCAATACATCATCATATCAACACAAATCAATTCATTTGAAGGTTTCTATAGATTCTTTAATACATAAAAGGAGAGAACTTCAATGTGTAGTGCTGTAGAAACCAGAAAATCTATCCAGTTGATCAATGGTGCTCTGATACCATTTGATTAACTCAGATTAGATCTCCAAAATAAAGAAAATAGAAGGAAACGGCCCTGGATCGAATGCAAAAAGAGAGAGAAAGATAGAACAGAGAAGAGAAGAAAGAAAGAATAAAAAATAGGGCAAAAACAGGGAGTGTTCAAACAGAACATCTCTCTCCTGTGGCCTTCTTTTATTTAATGTTATAACAAAGAGAACTGCCCTTTCCTATGTAATGCAAAGTATACATTTGTCACCTAAACATAACTTCCAACACCCACAAAATGAATGATTTAGTTTAATAATGTCTATTTTATTATTATAACCTCAAAAATAAAGAATATATAAAATATTTCATATAGAGTCATGTACAAAATAACTAGGTGCTTAAGCGAGTCAACTCTCCATGGGCACCTTGTTGCCTAGGTGTCACCTTGACAACCATGTATCATTCTTTTACCCCACATTGATAAATTTTCAAATTGAAAACAATAAAAAAAATACTTAGGGAGGAATGCAGCTATAGCATTATAAAAGTAAGAAAATAATATTTTAGACTAAAGACAGAGTACAATTTTTTCTTTTTTAAAATTGTTAAACACAATTAAGTGTTATTTACAACAGTAGATGTAATCGAGCAGATTAGACAATCCATTCTGTACAATATAGACAAGCTTTTTTTATCAGCACAATATAGACAAGTTTGAGCAACAAAAATAATTCTTTGAGTGAGAAACCCTTTAGTTCTTTCTTAAAAACTAAGCTTAATTTTAATAATGAGGCAGGATACACCAAATACAGCAGGAAGTGAAGGTGTTAGTGGAAGAACAAAGTCCCACACTGTCACACTTAGTTTCAGATGTATTGAAAGATCTGCACAAGTATCTTCATCAATCATATCAACTGGCCCATTTTCCGAAAAGAATTCAGCAAATGGCGGTGATTCAAGAACTCTTCTTAAATTTGAACATACAGATTTTAGTCTTTCTACCTACAAAACAAAGAAGCTCATGACTAACCCCAGATAAAGCCCTTAGTTTCACCAAAGGACTTTAAAATCAATGAAGGTTCAGAAAATAACCACTTTGTCCAAAGGTTTTCCTTCAACAGGTTCCACAATGTCAAGACAGTTCCTAAGTTCTCTGTATATTTGATGCTTCTCATCATAATCCATGCATTCGGCTGAAGATCTGGAGAAGAATGAATAAAAGCATAAAAACCGAGATCTGGGTAAATTAAAAAAGAAACTCTTTGTCACATAAACAAGCCCTCTAAATTTTTATAAATTCTAGATATGTCCTACTCTCCAAAATAATCTCACAAATAGCAATTAATTGAATACAAGTCTCAAAATAAAAACTAATATTTAACTGAAATAAAGAGAATAGATCATCACTGTGCATCTGGCTTCATGGCAGTGATTAGAAGCTCTCCTTCATATTGACCAGGGGGCTGTCCAGAAGGGACATCTATTGAAACCCAAACTGCTGCTGTCTCTCTGCAAAAAAGAAATGATCCAAATATTATAGATGAGATCAAGAGAAGATGTTCTTCAGAACAAATCAGTTAAACCTTGTCAATACTCAATAGCAATACTTTAAAAAGAAGTTTAAAATTATTCATGTGAAAGGTAACAAGGAAGGGTTTCTGTTTTTTTTTTTTTCAACTATTACCCAGGAAGTATGTTTACTTGACTGGTTGGCAAATCAAGGGGAACAAGAGCATCAGGAACACCCAAGATAGGCACCACACGTCGCAAAGTCACAGAATTCCCAACAACCAACCTGCCAATGGCTATTATCAGCAATCTTATTTATATCCGGGGGGGAATTGCAAGGTAGTGGCGTATATTTCAAAAAACAAACCTATCACCAGAATTAGAGCACAGGTCAGTACACTGAACTTGCACCACACCTGCAATACCAGGACCACCCCAAGAAACTTTTGGACGCATTGCAACTTGAACATTCTCCCTCTCATTTCTTGCTGCAAGAAGAGTAACCTTCAAGACAAACCAAAAGTCAGAATCAGAACAAAACCTAATGATAGTAGTGGGGGGGAGCCAGGTTAAACCACTTTGCCCATAACACCCAAAATGCTTGGCATACTTACCATAATATTTTGGTAATTATAAAAGGAAAGGAACAAAGCATCAACTCTGTGGGCTATCATAATTCCTACGGTTCCTCTATAAATGTCTTGCCTTAATACTAATCTTACAATAACCATGATTTCATGGAGTCATAATTTTTAAAACAAAACTCTTGTGCTTTAAAACTTAATTGAAAGTCTATCTACCATAAACTTCCCATTTATGATGACCAGAGTGTTATATTTGAAGAAACTAGTGGTGTGAAAATTAGATTAAGGGAAAAGAAAGGATTTCAAAATAATGCCCCAGATAGAGAAAGTCCAAGGATGCATATCTTTATATAACTATTTTACGCTTTCTTATAACAAGGCTGGCCAAACACAACAAGCAACCCAAACAAGAGAAAACCAGGAAAATGATCACCCACTACAGAGATGCATCTTGGCTCAACCAACATCTGACCTGGCAAATCTATCTGCTAAAAATTAGTTGATCTTAGTGAGAAGCTGAACAAGATTAGATCTTCACTTTGGCTGCTAAAGTCTTAGCTTCCTAAAGTAAAGCGGTAGAAGCAATGAGCCCTTCATCCATCAAATTACCGCCTATAAATCCCTTTACCTCCAAGCTATTGATGCTCAAGACCAGGAAAACATCAACCTCAAGTAGGGTATCTCCATTCAGGGGGTCCCATGACCTACAACAAACCCTGAGTGAACTTGAAGATTCTTTCCCAAGTCCCAAACTATGATCTGTTGAAATGGAAATGAGTATTTATGTCAACATGGAGACAGCATATCAAACACAGCAAGCACACCAAGTCTAGAAATGGGAACGCAATATATGTATTTAGGCAGTATATGTATACAAATAAATACATATACGCCTACATATATATACACAATTCACATGTCTTCCTAGATTGCTAACAAAGAAATGTTAAGTTACATTAAAGTAAGTAAACTATGGATTAGTTGCTTGAGACCTGCGGGCATTCAAATAGAGCCTTGTTTGGCAAATGGAAATGGAGGTATAGGGAGGAGAAGCAGGAACTCTGGGGGTTGAATTGGGAGTCTGTTCATCCCCATGAATCCCATGGATCAGGCATCATTATGAACCTCAATGAAGATTTTGCTCAGTTTACTTCATTTAAGGTAGGTAAATGGGTACTACATCTATTTTTGGAAGGACGATTGATGTGGGGCCCAACTTCTATGTGAGGCCTTCCTGGACTTGTTCTCATTGGCTGCCAATAAAAACTGTATAGTCAAAGACAGCTATGAACTGCTTGGGGACAGGCTGGTGTGGGTCCCAAGACTTAGAAGGAGCTTATATGACTGGGAAGTGGATAGATTCACCCAGATGCTTGAGCTGATTAGTCAATCCAATCCCAAGTGCCAAGCTGCAGACAGCAGGCTCAGGAAGGCTTCACCCTCAGGCTGCTTCTCTGTTAAATCCTTTTTTCAGTTATGATCCCATGTGGATGCTGCTACGGTTGACTGGCGTTGGATCTGGAAGACCAAAGCTCCTTCTAAACTGATTTTCTTTGTATTGACATCCATCCTTGAGAAGATTCCCACCAACAACCAGCTGAATGCTAGAGGCATGCAAATTGTGAACCTATGCCACCTGTGCAAAAGCCATGAAGAGTCTCCAGCACATATTGATCCATTGTGACTTCACCATACATTTCTCCCATCTTTTCAACAAAATTAGACCTCTGCCAGTGTTTTGAGCTTCTGCTCTTCTTGGTTTTCCACTGCTCTCAGTAAAAGAGGCCCCTTGCCCTTTGCTGGACAGTTTGGAAGGAGCACGACAGTAGAATTTTCCAAAACAAGGAATCTCCTCTTGAAGTTGTTATTAGCAAAGTGAAGAGATCCTTAATTTTTTTCAGCAGGTCTTCAAAAGGAGTTCAAGGGATGGGAACCTTAATTTTTTTGGCCCTGCCTTGGCTTTTGTGGATTCCATCATGTACAGCTCAGTATCCGCGTGCATGCTTTTAAGGGGCTTCTCCCTTATTAATAAAAGATTTTCACTTATTGAAAAAAGAAATAATAAAACAGAAAAAGGTTGCTTTATATTGGTATGCTTTTCTTTCTTTGAAAAGGTATTAGCATGGCTAATCACTCGGTAGCTTAGATGGTCACTCAGCATCCCTCTGAATATGGAGGCGTAGGATCAAACCTGCGCAGCTGCAGGCTCTCTGTGCAAAGGTCAGTGAACTTCATGTGCACCCTGCTTTGTCCCAACCCCTAATCCCCCTCTAATGTGTAATATGTAATACCAAAAAAAGAAAAGGTATTGAAATGGATATTCACATAAATAAGTTTAAGTACAGGGGTTTAAAATTTGAAACCATAAAGAGGCACTAATGTGAAAAGCCCTGTACCAAGCCACCGTATTGCAAAAAAGTTTTATATCCAGATATAAAGTTAGGCAATGTCACTTGAGACATCAATTTAAAATAAAAGAAAATAAGATAAAATAGGGCTCTACTCTCCTCTCTACAAAGGAAGCCCAAAAACAAGGGTTTTTCCATGATTTTCATTATATTAACAGGGAGAGACTAACTTTAACTCACCCAGCTGCAGAAAAGAACCCAAACCAATCAACACCAAAAACTAGGGTTCCCAACTTTTTCCCTTCAATTCTATTATCGCTCCTTTCTTCCATGATGTTTTTCCTTTTTTTCCCTTCTGTTTCTGTACACAGCATGTTCAGGTGTTTCCAAATCTGTGTCAGGTCCCCCAAATAATAGCTTCCAAGGGGTATCTACAATTACATCCCATCCCTGTATGCCCTTGATTTCCCAATATGCAGAACTAGAAATTTAGCTTAGCTACATCTTGTGTGGTGACCAACTCTGACATAAGCCTGTAGATACATGGTGCCAAACTACAATGATGACATCCATTGAAAAACCTCTAAACTCATATCTGTTATGGATCAAATTGGCAACCCTCACTTTATTGAAATTAATTAATCTCGCTGAACAACTATCCTCATCTAAGAATATTCTTTCTATGAATACAATATGCATTTATAAGAGAATATAAGGTTGCTACACGCTATGTATAAAAAGTTACACAACTTGTGTTTTATAATTAAAATACCAACTTGTTCAAACACGATACTATCCTACAATAACCATATCTTAGTAAACTGATGCAATACCTAGACATCGAAAAAACCAAACCTACAATACCTGGAAGGTGATGGGATAGTGAGAGGAAAATGGCACATTTTCTCACTTTTGATTTTGCATAGGAAACACACGTTGGAAATGGGAATGAGAATGGTGTAGAACACAATAGGAGCATCCACATGAGCCTAAGAATTATGGTCACGAAAATGGAGGGAAGCTTCCATCTGAAATGCTGGGAAGAATTAGACCAATAAGGCACAACAGTAGAGAAAATTAGGTTATGAATTTACGGGGGAAACATAGATATTGGATTATACAAATGCTAGATGACCTTAGCTGAACAGGATGCCCTTTCAGATAGCCCAGTCACGTGTTTCAAAGAAATGAAAAGAATAGATGCATCAAATGTCACAAGTGCCAACATGGTTAGCGTGTGTTTGCATTTGGAGTCATCATTTTATGATTCATGTTCATTAGTTCAGAGCCATAATGAGGATTTTAGCATCCCAACATCTTCGTGCAGCCTTCTCTTCCTTTAAAATTTATCAACCAAGTAAAGAGGGAAAAGAAGAAATATTCTGACAGCGCCAGCCTGACAATGTTGACATAGAGCCCCTTTAAAGAGCTAATCACCTTTATGGGCTGATGTTAGTGAAGGCCCATCAATCTCATACCAGCTGGTGGATATATCATGGAACAAGAAAAAACTTCTGCTAACATTAAGGGAAGGGATGACTCTGCATATCCTAATGTGCTGTCAGACTCTGAAGTCTGGCTAAGGGGTGTAACTTGGATCGGGTTGAGATGAGCATTTGTCAAATTTTGAAATGCCCCAGCCTGGACCCAAGCCCAATGTAGTTGAAAATCTTTAACTTGAGTTGTGGGCTGGTTGAAGAACCCTGGGGATGCTGTTTTGTGCTATAAGAACTAAATTAAGAAGATCAATTGGCTGACAAGGAATATGCCAGTTTYTATTCAGTGGGTGGAGATATCAGCAAATGCTTTGGCTGATGTGTTAGCCAAGCAAGGGGCAAATAGGGAAGAATTGTTCTGGGCTCAGCTGTGATTTCTGTACTCTTTCCCTAGTTTCTTTGCAATCTGTTAGGAGAAGCTGCAGCCTGCACCTCTCCAAGGGCTGTTGTATGAGATTATAAATCTGAATCAGTTTCTGAATTAATAATTCATTGTTGCTCATTGAAAAACCTGAACAACACCCAATTTGCATCTCAACTATGGATCAATTATGGCTACATGTGTAGGAAACAAACCAGATACTGTCCCCCCACACCCAACTCTCTTTTCTCATTCTGTCATTGTCTCAACCAAGATTTTTTTAACAGTGTCTTTTCAACACAGTTGTTTAATCTTCCCAGTCAGCTTTTATGTAAAAGCTGTGATTAGAAACATACCAACCTTCTCCATTAACATATTAACAATACCATATAGATTTAAAAAAATGAATCATCGAATATCTGAAATGACATTTTATAAACAACATTTATGAGTATCTAATTTCTAGCTTCTACAGGATATAAGCTCCATAAGAAGCTTGGGTAAAATATTTTCCATCATATCCATATAGATATAACTCTGAGTTAATAATTTTAGCTAAATGAACAAGTATAAGTTTGGTCATATGCGCCGTTACTTAAATTCACGGCATTGCCTTTTGTGTACCCAGAAATGCAGGTAATGGTTTATGCATATAAATACATAACTGGGAGAAAAAACTATGATCCTGAAAACATGTATGCATGTAGGAAGGCAATTATAAAACTGTTTAAGTTTAAACTAACAGCACAGAGAAATCTCATTATGTTTGGAGCAACTCGGTTTGCGTCTGGGACAAATAATGATAACAATAGCAATGGACTCACAGGCTCTAAAGGTCTAGGCATTTCTTGCTGTCCAACATTTGCTGTGCTTGGCATGTACCAGACGTGCAGTAGATCTGCAGATGAAACCTTTGTGGGATCAAGTGATCCAATCAGAGGGTTTGAAGCATACAGACCACCATCATTCCATCCATAACCTGTCCCTCCTCCAGCAACACCTTCTACTGGAGGCATGGTGACGTTCTGCTGATTCCCCTCTCCTGGGTAGAATAAAAAAATACATGTTAGATGGAGACATGTCAGCCCCTAGATCTACTCTAGCCTCACTTGAAAGGAGAAAAATAGGTGTAACATAAAACACAGAAAGTAAAGATGATATTTCAAAGGAAAAGAGACGTAAAGAAAATATCCACCACCGAGAAAATAAGAACGCAATTTACATAGAAGTATTTAAGAAGTAGAAGGAAACAATGCGAATTGCGATATTATATAATAAGCTCATCCGCATCATTGTCTTGGACAATGCATTGATTGGACATAAGTAAACGAGATGAATGGGACCACGAGGTGAAATTATAATATCAGTTTCAGCAATCCTTATGTGAGACCTGTCATTATATCAACTATATGATATCAGATAATTGAATGGGAAGATCCACTCTGTCAATATTTACCCATTATGTTGTCATCAGTTAAGTTYTCGCCTTCCAACAATTGAGTCCAACAAAGCTAAAACTCAAAATTGCTTTCTCAATTGGACACTAGCCTCAAAGTAGGCATCCATAAACTCCTAAAAGCATTTAGATAGTTGTACCTTGCGTCTCTCATTTTGAAAGCAAAAACACTAAGTTATAATCCGAAGCAGTAGAGGAACCCTAGAACTTGATAAATTTGATGGGGTCGTTTGATATTACTCCGAAAAAAAATATATATATATACATGTCGAAAAACAATCACGTTGCAGGATAAACAAAGAATCATTAAATTAAACCCCGCAACGGAGGAGAGCAAAGGGCAAAACCCTAAAGCTTGAAAGAAGTGAAGAACCCTCCAGAACCAGAGAAACTTGAATAGAACGAAACATACAATGAACTGATAATAAGAATATGGACAGTAAAAGTTGCAGACGATGACCTGTATTCTCCATATCCATCACCCTTTTTTCTTTCCTTCTCCGTGACCTTGTTCGGAGAGCTCTTCACTTTTCCAATGGTAAGATGATCGTTGGGGACTGGTTTCAGAACAATTAATTTGGATGGAGAAAGAACGCTCGGAATTTGTTGGTGTGTTCCGTGAGGACTGAGGAGGTGATTTTCAGGTGAAGCAAGATTCAAGAAAAATGTTGGCAGTCTCATCAGTGTAAAAAAGGCCGACATGTGGGGGCATTTGTTCCGATTGAATTGTTCAAATGACTGAAATACCCCTGGAGGCGTTGTTGTCTTCCAATCTCTGGCGCGGCAATAACTTGCCACGAGCGCCATTATTGAAGGACCAGGTCCCGCCATTGAATGGACCACCGATGACCGACCTCGTTTGTTTGTTTGTACTTTGCAGAGCAATTTTATTTGTATTGGCTGCGTTTGTTTCCAATGCAAATGCAAATATATAACCATGCATTTTTTTACTCATCCCAGTTCACAGTTCATGAGTGCAAAGTCGGTTCAAGAGTTAGTATGGCTTTTGCACTCTTCTCGTTTGTTTGGAATTTATATAAATCAGGGCACAAATTTGTTGTCATTTGTTTGAAATTAATGCAAACTATGAGAGCAAATATAAATGCTCTGACTATCTAGTGTGCTTTTTCCAATAATAACCACCATTCCTGTGGAAGAAATTTGGACCGTCCATTGTTACAACCATAGTGATAGCAAACGTGGATGTGAGCTTGGCCTAATATTGTTTGAGGCCAATTGGTCGAGCTTGCCAAAATGGTTACAATCTTGAGTCCACAATTCAGCTAGTGGTAGCTAATCCATACCGGTCTTTCATATATGAGAGGTTTCTTCTAGTAGAAATTAGCTTAAATTAGTGTGAAGGAATCCTTACAATTTTCATGCACGAGAGAGACATTTTTTTAATTGTATTGCAATCCTACACAAGAGCTTGCTTAAACAGTTAGAAGTTCCACACCATCGATTTTCTTTAAATCCAGGCTCGTACATAGACTTGTTTTCCGATCCATTATCCAATTCTGCATTGACTACATATGTGGGCAAATTAAGATGATGGGTTGGATCTCCCTCAAATTAAGATGATGTCGACTATATGGGTAGACCCATATTTTGTTGAATATCAGTCTATATATCTGCTCATATGATAACAAATATGAGAATGATAACTATATCACTCTATATCTGCTCATCTGTTGGATCTCCTTCCCATTCCTATTCAATCCATTCACATTTCATTCAAATATGAGATATTCTAACACACCCTAAACAATCCATCCACATTTCCTACTCAATCTCATATTTCATTGAAGGTACCGTCAGCCTTCAAACAATGATACTTGATAACAGTTTGCATTCACAATTACTAATCAATCCATTCATAAATCATTGAATGTTATGTCAGTCTTCAAACAAGGAGGCCTGATAAATATAAGTGACCTGCTAACAATTGATAAATATATAGTGATGAGATCAATTTATCTGATCCGATAATGAACACAGAGGATAGCTACATGAAAACAGATGATGAAATGTGGTTCCTGCTATAAGTGATCCATAGTAAATGATAAAATAAGATCTGATAATGATAATGATAAATGATCCAACATGTGGTTCCTACTCAATATAAGTGACCTGCTAATGATAATATGATAAAAAGGAATACATGAAAACAAGCCCATGACTATAAAAGAAGACAAAAAGCACACACACACACCCCTAGTGTTTAGTTTAGTTGCATTTAAATCATCTCTATCTCTCTCTTTCCCTCTCTCTCTCTCTCTCATATATGGTTCTATAACTAACTTCTCAAAGGAATATGTTGTATCCAGTTGTACTTCACAATACTTATAGTATACATCTTCAGCTTCTTCTCGACTGTTATATGAACAATAAGAATTCCCTCTGAACCTAGCAACTTACTTTTGACACTCGAGCCATGAATCATTCACACTTGGATTTCTCCCCTTGAACACAACATAGGATTTTTTCATCCTACACACCTCATCATTTTGACAAACTTATGTGAGTACATTGCAAAGCAACAAACAGATTATGACATACTACAAACAAAGAGATATAACAAGAAAGTTTCATTATATCAATAAGTCAAAAGTATCAGTGTATAAGTAAGTACTAAAAAGAGTGTTAAAAGCTACTATAGTTGCCATAGTTAATATGTTTTATTAGCAAGTGCACCAACCTAAGTTATAACAAAAAAGGGTAGAAATGTTAAAGTTCCATTGTCCAAACTTCATAATAAGAGAAGAGGTACTACTGCATTCCACCAAAACCAGTCATCTTAGATATGATGGATATGATCATTTGAGCCCTAAATGGCTTGTCCCTCGCAAGGAAAATCTTTGCTTCCTTATCAAGTTCACCTAGGTACCCAAAGACAGTGTTCCGGACTTGGATGTCATACCCTTCCAAGTCCATAACTTCCTTCCATAAACGGTTTAAGAAATCCATCTCAATCTCAACTGTAAGTGCAGATACAATTTTTTACATTGTAATATTCATTCTATCAATTGCATCAATAAAGTCCTGGTTGGGATTCGGTTTTGATCCATGCACTATTTCTTTTGAGCTTGAGGAACCTGCCCTCCGGTTGTTATTGGAGATTGATTAAGTGCCATCTTCACATATGAATTCATCAACAGTCAATGGGGTTGTTGCATCATCATTGAATTCAAGGTCATCCTCTTCAGCACCATCAACATCAGCATTACACTCAATCATGGACTCAAACCCTGCCATAGCCTTGTCACCCGTAGGCTGATCATTTCCCATAACTGTTTGCATTTCCTCAAACATCTCCATCACCCTGCCTTTAACACACAGTGCAAGTGGATTGACCTGCATTGTAGATGGCATCATTACCAGTTTCTCATTTTTAAACATTAATTAAAAAAAAACAAATATGCCATATTTACCTTGATGTAATCATCTCAAACAACTGGATCAACTATGATTTGATTATTGGATTCATTCCAGCTGAAGCCACTAGTCTCGAGCAGCTTATTGGCTTCTATGTATATGGGTTTTAATGTTCTCATTCTACTCTTAATATGGGGTGTTCTCATATCATTATTGAAGCGGGCAGTCATCTCCTTGCATACTGATGTGTATGCAAATGTCCAAAACCCCTTATCAATTTTATTGACCAATGCTACTTGGTCAGCAAGTAGCTCAATCAATGCCTTATCCATGGCATCATTCCATCTTACTTGTCGACTTCGATCACCTTTGCTGTGCATAGTTTGAGAGACAAACAACACATCATTTCCCTTATTGCCATCTTTCTTATTACTGATAGATGTTCCTATTGTATCTCTACTAGAGACTATCCCTAGCCAAAAGTATTCTATTTCATGCAGCAAACAAATAACACAGACATGTACATACATTATCATAAAGAAATATTGAAAATACCTTTAGTAATCAACAATATAAAAGTAAGCATGTGCAATACAGAAATATGGTGTTTAAACAATATTGCTGATATATTAAATTGTCTAACAAGTAAGTCATGGATATCTAATAAAACAAATAAATTGGACGTTTTAAACATTATAAGAACTGCAATCGATAAAAATTGGTTATAACAATGATGATGTGCAATTAATCCAAATACTACAACTCCTAATCATCTTCATAGTCTCCTCGAGTCTCGAAACATGTCTGACCCAATCTGGTCCCTAAATGTGGACCACCTTGCTAGTTCATTTCTTTGTAGCCTTGGTGCAAGAGAATCTGCATTAGCGCTTTCTTCCACAAATTCATCCCCATCGAATGTATTTTGCCTGTCTGCCTCACAGATCCATTATCGGGTGTACCAGTCAATCGATCATGTGGATCAACTCCCATGATATGGTTGTGAAGCACACAATAAGCAATCACAATCTTTACCTGCGTGTCAAAGTTAAAATGTTGTGTTGCATCAAGAATTGCCCAACGCTTATTCAGAACACTGAAAGCGCGTTCCACTGCATTTTTCAACGATGAATGTCTGTGGTTGAAAATCTCCCGAGGGGACTCCGGCAATCGCTCTTGTATCTCATTGAGGTGGTATCCATTGCCTTGATAAGGTGCTAGGAAGCCTGACATGTTTCTGTATCTGGCATCTACTAAGTAGTATTTTCCTATATTTCGTTGAGTGATCATTGGCAACAAGCAATTAGTTAAGACAATGGAGTCCACTTTTCGAGTATTAGAAAGGATGAAGTATCAATTTAAATTACCTTCTGGGACATGGAGTTTGCATTTCCTTCGCAATGAATCATATAGAACTGTGGCATCAGTGGCTGAACCTCCCACTCAACCAATACATAAGTGAATTTTAAATCGAATGTCACTACAACCATTACATTTTGTGTTGGTTTCCCCTTCCTACCACGAAACTTGCCTTGCTCCTCAACAGGCACTTTGCATGGGATATGGGTCACATCAATTGCGCCTATACAGTCCTACATGTAACTAAATTATGTTAATTTCATGATCTAGGGAGGTGTTAAGGTAAAAAGTGTAGTAATCTATTACATACCTTAAAATATAGCATAAACCAGGAATCATTCCTAATCTCCGGTGGTACTTGTTCTCCAGTAGGTTGTATAACCAACAAAAGGTACAATCTAAGTACAATACGCATGACTTTGTGGAAATACCAACTTACGGTCTCTTGTGAACGCCCGAAGGTAACATGTATGACACTATTCCTTTCATTATGCCCTATAGTGTGCAAAAACATTGCAACTTGCTCTTCGACAGATATGTTAATGGTTGGCCGAAGTCCACTATGGGTAACAAGTAAATGACAAAGGGAATCAAAACATGGATTTCTCATCCTAATATGAGATAAACAATATGAGTCACTACTAAATACAGTGTTGAGAAACACTCCCTTCCATAGGCTTCTGACCTCTCGCATCCTTCGACTGGCAGATTCAGTATACTGTTTGACGATGACAACCACTGCAAGATATGTCATAATGGAACTAATGGCCGCACTGGTCCGCCTACGCTTGGCTATAGTGTCATGTGTTACCTCCATGCTTGACTGACAAGTCAAAAGCGCCCATGAGAATTATCCAATATATTTATGAAAGGAATGGGTCGTTATAAAAGGAAAAAACAATGTTTAGAGTGCTATTACAATGAAAGCACTATTTAGAGCTGTAAATTTTGCAC